CATCAATCTTTGTTCGATACAGCCAATGCTCGACCCGACTCGGTTGGTTTGCAGCCCTATTTGATAGTATAAATGTACATTAAGTCTGTCACAAGAAAAAGAAAATCTCGAATGTATCAAATACATCATGGAATAGCACAACTAAGCAAAGGATTTTAATTTATTACACATTCATAAGAGAATTTAAACCTTTACAAGGATGTCATAACTAAATTTAGCATGACACATTGACACTTGATGAACCGTAGGAAATGGATGATGCCCGAGTACAGATGCTACTGGAAAGTGGTGACACCTGACACGAGAGTGTCGCTCGTTTTTGGGCTGATAGCGGGCCGTAGATATGGGCCGGACTTGACCCTGGCCCAAGCCATGAACGGTCGAGGGGACCCTTACAGAACCCTTTTGAGAGAGGGCACAACTGCTCTTCTCAACTCATACAACAGCCTACAATTCCCTTTCAACTCTCTTGACATAATCCAGCGGGTCAACTGGGCCTTACTCGGGTCGACCCGTCAAGTCCTCCACACAGCTTTGAGCTTCATGAAAGCGAATTCGGGCACGGGCACCAACACGACCTGCAACTTTAATACTTGCAGTTGAAGTGATGCTAAGATTAAGTTATTAAAAGTTTATATGTATGCATTAGTTGAATGCTAGCTACTTTTACATTAGACTTGTACTTTGCATGGATACATAAATATTATTACAAATTGAGATATGCTTTATTGAGTATATGTTGGTTTTGCTTGAGCATGAATTGAAGGAAGAAAGATGGATTTGATATAAAAAATAGTAAGGAATTTTATTGTCAGTCTGACTAGCAGTTAGAGAGTGATTCTTTTTCGATAGATGTAATATGCTACAGGATAACGTACACACAAATATGACAGTATGGCTGATCGACTAGCCTAACGTTTAGACTGTCTTAGACAAGAGTTTTGTTGGAAAGTAACACTAGTAGTTACTTGCTTATAAAATTATTGAATTAAATAAAATAGGTGCAACCATGGGAGGTTATGTAAAGTTATAAAACTCAATAGCTGCTGCATTTTTTCCGACAGAAAAATTGAAACGGAAGTTTAAGTAAACCCAGTTCAATTTTCTTCCTTCTTGCTTCTGCCCTGGGCCGCCTAGGCCCAGTCAAGTGACCAGGCCACTTCATGGGCCGGTTGAGTCCAAAAGAGTAATGAAGTCGTAACCTCAAAATAGACATCATGAACTTTTTTTTTTTTTTTTTTTAATGCACCGTTTTATGAATTAATTATAATATCCAATACTAACAACGTCCGTGTATTACACGGGTGCTTGTTAAATTTTTTTCTTAAAAGTTAAAATTAATGAGAAAAAGTAGTTA